TTTCCTTAGATGACCAGTTTGGTTTGCATTTAGTAGCTGCTGTTGCTTTGTAAGGTATACTGTGTATAAGACAAAATTGATGTCATGAGAAGTAGACACAAATTATTCGTGGTACACAGATAAAAAGAATTTGAATCTGTGTATTATTTTGAAGTTTTTATTTGTATTGTTAATGGGGAAAAAAAGAGAGCTGCTAAGCAAGATGGCAGTAAAAATAGTAATGAGAGGAAATATTTAACATACTTAGGAAATCAGGTATCATTTGCATATACTGTTATTTTTTTAACTTTTTTCTGTTTATTAAATGTGTCCTATGCCTTTTCAACAGTGTTGACTTGGTTCCAGTTATTGAATGTACCTGAAAGGAATAAAACTTGTGTTTCTTTTGCAACATTTTAAAATCTATACTTTTTATGCTAATTCACAATGACCCATTTCTTCCTACTTTAGTCTTTCCTGCTATATATAATACAGTGGTTGTGCTTCTAAGGTTATTTTTAAAATCTTATAAAACTAGTTCTAAAGGGATAGAGCAGTTAATGCCTAGAAAGAAAATTCCTGAAAGAATTAAGGGTTGTGATTATATAGTTTAAAAAGATTAAATATCACTGAGCAAATCTAGCATCTGATTTTTATCTTATTTCAGCTCAGAAATAATGGTTTTTTTTTAAATCACATTCAGTGCTGTTTATTTACATTGTCTTGTGTTTCCAGAGTATTGTCAAAAATATTTTGCTGTTTGTGGTCATCCTTGTCTTGGTTCTGACTTTAACAGGAAAGTATTTCACAATTAAGCATTAGTGGTTTTTAGTTTTGCAAGTGCTACTTTTTAATTTGATGCTTTAATTTTTTTTTCCTTCTGGGTGTTTTTTCTTTATTAATTGAGAGTTATTAGCTTATTTCTTGATTCCATTGTTGAAAGCCAACCTGAAGCAAACTGTTTCCATGCTGTAATTCATTAAAATAGAGAGGCAGTTTTCTCAAAGACTGTGTTATTGGGCATTCATTGTAATTTAAGAAAACTAAAAAGGAATTGCTTTTTATTTTTTATTTAAAAAAAATTTTTTGGTCTGAACCATTGACAGAAATTGCTTTTTTAGTGTAGGTTCAAAAGCTAGTTTAAGAAGTCTTACAGTTAAAATAAATGGATGTGCATATAAACAGATATGAAACCAAATTGTCTTCCACTTTTTTTTTTTTTTTTTTTGGTAACACTTTATAACAGTGATTCTTAAACTTCTTTGTGTATAAGAATCCCCTTGAAGCCTTGCTAAAACAGACTGTAGGACTCTACCTTCAGAGTTTCTGATTTGGTAGGTTTGGTGTGGAGCCTGAGGATTTTCATTTCTGACAAGCTCTCAAGTGATGCTGATGCTGCTGGTTCTGGTATCACACTTTTATAATAAGCTTACCCCGATTGCACCAGTTAATAGAAGTTTGCTTAAATATAGCACAATGTACTGGTTGATACACTAGTTTTAGATTAGAGATATTTACCAACTGTCTGATCTTAGAACCAGCCATCATTTCACTAATCTGATCCTTCGTTTCCTCATCCATAAGATGAGGAACTGTCCTATAAGCATAAAATTAGGTAATGTTTGGAAAAATGTTTCAAAATGTATATTGCTGCACAAATATAAAGTAATATTGCATATTCTTTAAATTTTTCAGCTTGTTTTAAAATACTGTGGTTTATAACATTACTTTCAGTATTTTGATAAATATTCTCTCTAACATCCCCTTATTCCCCTAAACAAAAAGTAATTTTGTTTACTTTTTAACCATAGTTTCTTTCAGGTGAAGTGGACTTGAGTGCCTTTGAAAGGAAATATATTAAGATGAGTGCAGGCAGTCTTTGTGGGACTGTAAAAATATAGGCATTTTGCAAGACCATAAAGATAACCATGCAAGCTGAAACCATTCAAGCTATCTTAATAGTCAGTGGGAATAATTGTGATTGTTCTGTGACCTTTTTCTTCGGTGGGTTATAGATACATAGAGAAATGAAAAAAAATAAAATAGTAAAACTAATATTTAGTACACTGTAATTTAAAACATTAGAAACATTGAGAGTTAAACTGTTCTTTTTTTTGTAAAAATTTTGCAAGAATGGTTTGAACTGTGCTTGCCTCCTTGTCATAGAACTTACAACATGGAGGGCCGGCCCGGTGGCGCACTGCTACAGTGTGCCGCTTGGGAGCGCGGCGGCGCTCCCGCCGAGGGTTCGGATCTCACATACAGACCGGTTCCCGCTCACTGGCTGAGCGAGGTGTGGGCGCAAAACTGAGGGTTGCAATCCCGTTGCCGGTCCCGGTCCGGTACGGGCGCGACACTGAGGGTTGCGATCCATTGCCGGACACGAAAAAAGACAAAAAGGAAAAAAAAAAAAAAAAATTACAACAAGGGGGGAAAAAAAAAAAAAAAGAAAAAAAAAAAAAGAACTTACAACATGGAGAGATAGATAGATAGAATGAATTAAAGAGATAGAATCAAAGAAAGGGAAGGAGGAAGGGACAAAAAGAAAAAGAAAATTATGGTATTATCTGAATTAGCAGCAAAACATCACATTCAACAAAGTTTGTGTTGGATATGTTTTGTTAGACTGTTTAAATATGGGCATTTAAAAAATAATGGAATCATAGAATAAAATAATGAAATCATAGAATCACAGGATCCTTTGAACCATACTATCTTAAAACAAGGGTCAGCAAACTTTTTCTGTAAATGGCTTTTATGGGCCAAGAGGAAAAATCAAAGATATTATGTAGGTGTTTAAAAAACAAGAGAAATCAAATGTATACAATTTTTTTATTGATGAAATTTAAAATAAAAATTTAGTATAATTTTTATAATCATGGTCTCCTAATGAGAAGAATGCAATTCTTTTAGGGGGAATAACATTTGTTTTCACTGGGGTTCAAAGTTAGTGTTTCCTTTTGTCAACTCAATTGCAAGTGTTCAGCTGTAAAAATTATTCTTGAACTCGTGAGTTGGTGGGCTGTTGTCTACCCATGTTTTAGAATATAAGGGGCCTTTATAATCATCTAGTAGTTAATGAAGTCAAGGTTGTTTCTTATGGTCACACAGTTTTTAGTGACAGGTGATACCAAAACACAATGCTCTTTAAAATGTTTCACTTCCTCTGATACTCTTAACATATCATTTATTTAACCAGAATACCCTATTCCCTAATCATCTTATAAAAGGGAATTCACCTTATAGAAAAACTGCCCCCTTTTCTGTGCCTCACATCTTTTTCTACCTTACCTCAGCCTCTTAAGTAATAATAATAATATTTTAAAATGAAAATACAAATACTGTATCAAAATTATTTTATTGAAGATTTTGGGCAGTTGATACAACATTTTCCCTTTATCAGTGCATATTTTTAAAAGTGACTTAAATTAATTTTAATTGTATCAGTGAACTATGTTATTTTATTTTATTTTATTTTATTTTTGTCTTTTTTCGTGTCCGGCAACGGATCGCAACCCTCAGTGTCGCGCCCGTATCGGACTGGGACCGGCAACGGGATCGCAACCCTCGGTGCTGCGCCCGCACCTCGCTCAGCCAGCGAGCGGGAACCGGTCTGTATGTGGGATCCGAACCCTCGGCGGGAGCGCCGCCACGCTCCCAAGCGGCGCACTGTAACAGTGCGCCACCGGGCCGGCCCGAACTGTGTTATTTTAGTAGCTGAAATGCACATCTTAAGTATAAGGCATTGTGAACCTTTATTAAGTAGTATTTTAAATAGCTGTAGATAATATATTTACACTATCCCTCTTTCATTCTTACCACTGGTAAAATGGTAAGGGGTTTGGTCCACAGAGAACTAGAAACACTGAACAGCAAGTGCCTGGCACACAGAAGGTAATGAATATGTTATACATATTGTATGAGTAAATTGTATACTTGTCAAAGTCACTTTTAAGGGGCTTAATACTCTTACAGTTTCTGGTACATGGAAGGTGCTCAGTAAATGATAGTTTTTAATAATTATTAAATTTATAGGCCAGTAGTTGTTTATAATACCCAAACTTAACACAGTTTGCTCAATATTCTTAGACACAGCTATATTAAGAGTAGTTAATAAACCAGGACCTGGAGTTAGATACCTAATATTGAAGCCTGGTAAAATCTGTTTAGCCACACACCCAAGCCATGCAGCCCTCAGACAAGTTATTCGGTCTCTCTGCCTCACTTTCCTAATCTTTTAAAATGAAGATATGATAGTACATAACTCATAGGGTTGTTGTGAGGCTTAAATATGTTAGTACACGTGAAGTGTAATAGTTCGTGTAAAGTTAGTAAATGTACAGTATAATAGTGCTTGTCATATGTTATGTTTGAATACATTTCTTCCAAATTTGAAGCTGGTTCAGTCAGTTAACCAGATTCCGCAATTAAATTTAAGGGTCTTCTATTATAGGTAGAATTTATCTAATTTACCTAATCCCTTATAGTATAAGCAGGGGGAAATTTTCCCATTAAATTTGGCATGTATATTTTATAGTTGTAAATAGAAAAATTGGTTAAATATCAACACATATAAACATATTCAAGAAGTTATAGTTCTGGCATGATATCCTTAGATAGTCACAAGAGTGGTACATGGAGGTGTTTTTTTCCCCCTCACCCAACATGTGCCTTATATTTTGTGACTGTAATATGGCATACATCTATTCTGTTCTTAATATTAATGCTTCTGGTCAATGTAAATAGTTACTTGACAAAAAAGGAAATGCTTTGGGAATTAGTAATCCATAATTTCTCTTTATGGTTCTTAATGTACATTTTTTTTGTATAGTTTTATATCTATTTTATTTAAGTTAATACATTTAGATGAAACAGAATTTTAGAACCTTATTTTCTTTCAAATTTGCATTCTTTACAACTTTTTGTAGAAGTCCCAGGTGAGTTTATAAAAACCTATCAAATTACTTAATGATCTTTCTGTTGTCAAGTGTTCTAATATATGCTTTTTTCCCCCCCCCCAGAGGAAATAAAAGCCGAAACTGAAAAACAGAGGTTTGTGGGATTTCTTTTCTTTGGTAAAAATAATTCGCAAACTTGTCAGTTTGGACCAAAATAATAACAGAATCTAAATTTTAGTGTGGCAAATTTTCTGCATGTGATCTTTATAGTAAAATCAATTTTTTTAAAAAAAGGTTTTTAAGGAGTGTAATTGTAAGTATACTTATAAATGCAAAAAGACCTCATATGGATAAGTATGTAAAGGTATTTCTAAAATACCATGAGATATGTTTTAAAGTCTTAAGACTGACTCATATTTAGAAAAATTACTGGGCTTCTTTGATAATATTAGCTTCTCTAGGGTTCAAGTAACTCAAAAGTGCAGTTTGACTTAAGGACAAGTAGAAAACCAATTGATTTTTAAGGTATTATAAATGATTTGTTAAGTGACAAGAAAGTATTTCTATAATAGAAACACCTTGAGGTCTTTGGAAAGAATGTTAGACAAGAATCCAGTGTCTTATGTTTCTCAAAGCTCTGACCACTAGCTTTTGACCTTGTGGTAAATCACTTAGCTTCTTTGGGCTTTGGTTTCTTCATGAACTATGGGAAGATGGAGGATGGGTTCAGCAAGATTCCTTTAAGAACTGAAATTCTGTGTTTTTATATGAGTTTATTATCGATATGATAAATGTGATATTCTAATCAGTCTCTTCTTTTTTATTTAGTCCTCCTCATGGAGAAGCAAAAGCTGGATCAAGCACCCTTCCCCCAGTGAAATCAAAGACAAATTTTATTGAAGCAGACAAGTACTTCTTACCCTTTGAGTTGGCATGCCAGTCCAAATGTCCCCGCATAGTTAGTACATCTCTAGATTGTTTACAGGTATGTGTAAAAGGGCATTATCTAAAATCTGTCAGATTTTTTTTTTTTTCCTTTTTGTCTTTTTTCGTGTCCGGCAATGGATCGCAACCCTCAGTGTCGCGCCCGTACCGGACCGGGACCGGCAACGGGATCGCAAACCTCGGTGTTGCTCCCACACCTCGCTCAGCCAGTGAGTGGGAACCGGTCTGTATGTGGGATCCGAACCCTTGGCGGGAGCGCCACCGCACTCCCAAGTGGCGCACTGTAGCAGTGCGCCACCGGGCCGGCCCTAAAATCTGTCAATTTTGAATGTGTTTCTAAAACATTAATTACAATTGATGATTTAGACATTTCCATGAAAGCCTTAATTCTTTTTTGTAGTAAGAAACCAAATGTTTGTTTATATTCAAGATAGACTGTAATAGTTACAAAAAGATGTTGCTAGTTTAATGGTAACAAAAATTATTAGCTTAGTGAAACACTTTCATTACTGACAACCTTAGTAATGAAAATGTTGATTTGATCTCTTTCCATCAGTAAAATGCAAAAACCGTAATACTTTTATCATCCTGATGACTTTATATACATCATCATTTGCAGATGATTTTACTAAATGCCTGCTGTTTTGTATAAAGCAATAGGTTAATATTGGCAGCTTAATATTTCTCTGGACTTTAGCTGTCACACTCATTCATGTCAGAAAAATTCCTGAACTCTTTCATCCAGTTTTACATACACGCACACATTTACTCACACATGCTCACACAGAAGATCCTCTTAATTATTTGTAAGACAGACCTCCAGACAGACGGGTACTTCTCTTCTTAGGTGTTCTCACCATTAGAGAATTAAGTGTATTCATCTAACAAATCAGTGGCCAGGAAAAGACCTTGTGATTTGTCCTTAAGATAGGTTAAAGATAAGTTCATCTGATTTATCTGATTTGTGACTTTGTTTTCCCTGGAAAATTAGAATGTGATATCTAAAACCTTCCCTTCTAGGCCATAATGGTAATTATGAATGAACAAGTCTGTGATTTATTGCAGCCAGTGTATGAAACTGGCTTTTCTGCATATTGATCTAATTTGGAAAGAGTTTTGGGGTCATTTAAAAGTGTTAAGATAGTTTTCACAAAAGCAGTGTTAGTAGAACCTTGTTTAGGTAAGCAGAAAGCAATTCTGACTTATTGGAGACAAGTTATCAAAGTATTGCCTGATGGTTTCTTTGTTTGTTTTTCTTTCTTTCAGTTTTAATTTATATTTATTTTTGCGGGGTAGAGTGTGGTGTTTCATTTTTTTTTTTTTACCCTTTTTAATTGAAATATAGTTGATTATACATATTTGTGGAGTGCAGGGTTAAATATCAATATCTATGTAAAATATGTGATGTTCAAATCAGGATAATTAGTATATATATATATTTTTTTGAGTTCCTGCTTTTATTAGGATAATTAGTATATTCATCATACAAAGTGTAATCATTCTTTGTGAACCTTTACCAATTTCTCCCTAGCCCTCCTCCCCCTCACCCTTTCCCACCTCTAGTAATCACAGTTCTGTTCTCTCCTTTTGAAAGTTCATGAAAGTTCAACGAATTATTATGATCTCTCTCTCTCTCTCTCTTCCTCCCCTCCCTCGCTCTCCCTACCCTGGGAACATGTGGTATTCTCTTTTCTGTGCCTGGCTTATTCCACTTAACATAATTTTCTCTAAGTTCATCCGTATTGCTGTGAATGGCAGGATTTTATTATTTTTTATGCCAGAGTAGTATTCTATTGTGTGTATATATCACATTATCATTATCTAGTTGTCTCCTGATGGACATTTGAGTTGGTTCCAACTCTTGGCTAGTGTAGACAGAGCTGCAATAAACACAGGAGTGCAGGTATCTCTTTGATATGATTTCCTTTCCTTTGGGTACACACCCAACAGTGAGATTGTTGGATCATATGGCAGTTCTATCTGTAGCTGTTTGAGGAACCTCCATACTGTTTCCCATAATAGCTGTACTAATTTACAGTCCCACCAACAGTGTAGGAAGGTTCCCCTTTGTCCACATCCTCTCCAACATTTGTTATTCTCTGTCTTTTTGATAGTAGCCAGTATAACTGGCGTGAGATGATATCTCATTGTGGTTGTGATTTGCATTTCCCTGATGCTTAGTGATGTTGGGTATTTTTTCATGTGTCTGTTGGCTATTTGTGTATCTTCCTTTGAGGAATGCCTGTTTAGCTCCTTTGCCTATTTTTCAATTGGGTTACTTGTTTTTTTACTGTTAAGTTGTTTGAGTTGTGTATTCTGGGTACTAATCCCTTGTCGGATACATGGTTGCAAATATTCTCTCCCATTCTGTAGGTTGTCTTTCCCTCTGTTGTTGTTGTTGTTGTTGTTGTTGTTGTTGTTGTTGTTGTTGTTGTTTTGCTGTGCAGAAGCTTTTTAGATTGATATAATCACATTTGTTTATTTTTCCTTTTGTTGTCTTTGCTTTTGGGATCTTATTCATAAAGTCTTTGCCCAGTCCTACTTCCTGAAGTGTTTCTCCTATATTTTCTTTTAGGAGTTTTATAATTTCAGGTCTTATATTTAAGTATTCAATCAATTTTGAGTTGATTTTGGTGTATGGTGAGAGGTATGGGTCTAGTTTCATTCTTCTACGTATGGATATACAATTTTCCCAGCACCATTTATTGAAGGGGCAGTCTTTTCCTCATTGTATGTTCTTGGTGTCTTTGTTAAAGATCAATTGGCTGTAAGTACGTGGGTTGATTTCTGGGTTCTCTATTCTGTCCCATTGGTCTGCATGTCTGTTTTTATGTCAGTACCATGCTGTTTCAGTATGTGCTTACATAGCACAATGCTTCATTTAGGGTGACAGCATAGTTTTGTACCCATTAGGTCACCACTTTTCTCCCTCCCTCCACCCCTCCCCCCTCCCCACCTCTGTTAACCATTATTCTACTCTCTGCTCTTATGGGAACCACTTTTTCTTTTAGATTCCTCATATGAGAGATTATGTGGTATTTGTCTTTCTGTGCCTGAGTTACTTCACTTAACATGATGATTTCCAGTTCCATCCATGTTGCTGCAAATGATAGGATATTGTTTCTTTTAATAGCTGAATCGTATTCCACTGTGTATAGGTACCAGTTTTTTATCCATTCATCTGTTGATAGGTATGTAGGTTGATTCCATCTCTTGGCTATTGTGAATAGTGTTGTGATTCACATGGGAGTGCAGGTGTCTTTTTGATATTTTGATATCATTTCCTTTGGGTATATACCCAGTTGTGGGATAGCTGCGTCATAAGCCTGTGGTTTTGTTGTGGTCATTCTTCTGTTTTTGTAATTATTGCAAGTGGAAATAATTTCACATGTTTATAGCTAATAAACTTTCTCCAGAAAAAGTCGATGTAGCCTTTGGCTTTGATTATATCTTGATATTCTTATGTAAAATTTTTAATGTATATTCAATTGCATATTGTAATTTTAATGTATATTCAATGAGTATATAAGTTAGCTTAATTTGGATCTTTATTTTTTCTTCTCCATTTCAGAAACTAATTGCTTATGGACATTTGACTGGCAATGCTCCAGATAGTACAACCCCAGGCAAAAAATTAATTGATAGAATCATTGAAACGATATGTGGCTGCTTTCAAGGTCCTCAAACAGATGAAGGAGTTCAGTTGCAGATAATAAAGGTAATTAATTATAAAAGGTGAACTTGTTATTTATAATCTGTATTTTTTTTAAATCAGAAGTCTTTTTCCTTGAAAATATTAGGAAACGTCATTTTATGTGCTTTCCAGGTATAATAGAGGTTATTTGGCTGCTTTTTAGACCCCATGTCAGGATTTTGTTGAGGAATGCCAGGAGTTCATTAGAAGAAGACTATACAGTCGTCCCTCAGTATCTGTGATTCCTGGACCTCTCATGGATCTGTGTATGCCCAAGTCCTTGAGGTGTAGGATTTGCATATAACCTAGGAACATCATTTGTATACTTTAAATTATCTCTAAATTACTTATAGTGCCTAATTCAATGTAAATACTATGTGCATAGTTTGTAATACTGTATTGTTTAAGGAATAATGACAAGAAAAAAGTCTGTACATGTTCAGTACAGATGCAATTTTTTTATCTAATATTCTCAATCCACAATTGTTTGATAGATATGGAATCCAAGAATATAGAGGGCCATCTGTATTTCCATATTTCTAGTTTAGGTTTGGGTCCCCCGAGTCTTCCAGAGTTTTTTTGTTTTCTGACATGTTTTTTATAAATACTCCATCCTTCAAGCTTTAGGATGGTCCTTCAAGCTTTGACCTCACTAATTTCTTTCTTCTGCACTGCTGGACTCCTCATGGCCTGCTCTCTCAACTGATGGACCACCATGTGAACTACTTGTTCACTAGCTTTCATGATTGCCTTGCACCTATTCATCTACTGAACCTGCTCAGCAAAACCCTGTCCCGGGTTCATGCTGTGATGTACCTGGATGGGATGAACTACTTAAGAAAAAAATTAGTCATATTTTCATTCTGCTAAAAATACTGAGTTCTTGGTGTTACTGCTAAAGGTGGTGGGAGTATGTTTATATATCAGTAAAATTTTTATTTACGATAGTACTTTTGAAATTATTTGCATGTATAAAGTGTTCCTTCGTGGGTGAATATAGCCCTTTCTGAGCCTTTCAGTTTTATAGCTGTGTTTGCTTCACAAGTCATATAATATCTTTATTCTAAAAAAAATGTTCAATCATTTTGGTTTGTCATTTGAAGTTTCATGTCATTTAATGGTTTAATTAGGATATATTCATTAATGGTGTTCCTACATAGTACTGTACAACATAAAGAGGACAAAAAATATGTCTTTGCTCTTGAGAAATTAAAAATGATCCAATGTGTGAAAGTTCATGTAGAGTTGTCTACTTTATTGGAGGATTCACCTTAGGATTATTTTAAATGCTTTATTCTAAAACATTTATAAACATCTTCAACAGTAACAGCAATGGCACATTTATTGAGTTGTTTGTAAAAAAAGATCTCAGAAAAATTTGGAGGTGAATAAGACACAATATGTGTCCTTCAAAGTTGACAGTCTAGTTCGGCAGATGTGTGAGGCATTATCTGTACTCTATTGTGACCGCGTGTTAATATTGTGCATTTTAATAAACTAAATTAAAACTTTTATTAAAATGAGACCTGGGTTAAAACAAATAGTTGAATGGTTTCCCGATGTTCTGGGGTTTGTGAGGGTTATGTGGAAGCTACTGTCAGAATAATGAAAATATCATATATTTTAACAGTTGATGGTATATTTAAGGAAAGTAAAAATTCTGTATATACTATTTGAAAGTGGAAATTGTTTCGGTAAGTTTTGATTCTAATATGAAAATATTTCAGTGTTCTGGTGCTAAAACTGTGGATCAAGAAAATTCCTTTAACTTTGTCTTTTTTTTTTTTCTTTTTTTTAAAGGCTTTACTTACTGCAGTAACATCACAACACATAGAAATTCACGAAGGAACTGTATTGCAAGCTGTGAGAACATGTTACAATATCTATCTAGCAAGCAAAAATCTCATCAATCAGACAACAG